TTTTTTTTTTTTTTTTTTTATTTCTTTTTTTTTTTTTTTTTGTTTAAAATTTTTTTACCCAATCAAGCGGGGGGGGGGGGGGCAAGTGCCCCACCTTGCCACTACCTGCGGGCGCCCATGGATACCGACAACGGTATTCCGTTTGTTAACTAAATATTAAGTTTCAAGTAACTTTGAACGATTTATATTCGTTGATCACTATTAACAGATTCACATAATGCCACTGAGATCTAATTTGGTGTTTACATTTCATTTTTAGATGGAAACATAAAAAGTATATTTCTCATTTGAGGTTTTAAGCATTAAATTTGGGTATTACCCCCACCTTCATTCACACCTTTTTTCTTTATAGTTTAGTTTCTTTTCAATAACAATCAACTATAATCTATATAGTTGCAAAACAGAATGAGAACGGGGAGTGCATGGAAGGTGGTAGTGTGAAGGGAAAAAAGTGTGTGTGGGGGGGGGGGGGGTAGAGGAATTGCAGAGGGTAATGGAGTCGTAAGATTGGTTGAGGAGAGATTAGCTAGCTGTCCTTCTCCAAAAGACATTGTAGCATTTTCCTGGGAGTGTCTGGCAAAATTACGAAGTGTGGTGGAGGTAGTTATGTGAGGTTTTTTCATTTTTTTTTTTTTTTTTAAATGAGCTTTTAGATTTCGTCCATTAGCGGTTTCCCGCCTCCGCCCGCAGGCGGTAAGCTCAGGGAAATACCAAATAACAGACAACTTGGCATCAGGGGCCTCGCAGTAGTTACCGGAATATTACTTGTACACAATGTCATATCACCTACTTACGGAACTTTGTCGGGGTTTTCTCCCGTAGCTTTAAAGATTTGAATCCACCATGGGCCACGAATGCTTAATTCTATTAACTAAGCATTATTGTATAGATCTACTTTAATACCTTAAATTAGATAGAGAGATTTTTTTTATTTATTTTGTGTGTGTGTGTGAGGAGGAGAGGAGAATGTATTAAAATTGTCTAATATCTCTATTACTGATTGTTAAGTCAGATGTATAAATCATCTGGATATCAGATCACTAGATTCTCTAGATGGTTTGTAGTCTTTAACTGTACTGGTTACAGCTCATGATTAACGACTAACCAGATTCTTTAAAGATTGCACTACATAGCATTTTAGAAGCAGACATCTGAGTTTTCCATAATATGAAACACAGACCCATCAACCTGAATTGCCTGGATTTGTATTAATTGCGGGGTTGAAACTTAACTGAGCTCATTATTGTGTCCTGAGTGTCGAGACACATGGTCCTTCCTAATCCTAAGAATAAATTAAAAGGGAGATAGCTCAACTAAAATAAACTTGTTAAATTCACAATCCAGTTTTTGTTCTTTTTGCTTAAGTATCATATTGATTGATTGATTGGATATTTATAAAGAGCTTGTATCCATGCTACTTTAGCATGCTCACTGCGCTCTGATTTTCTTAAACAAAAAAGTGTTTCTTAAAATGATTTTTTATCATTTTCAATTCCCCTCAAAGAGTGAGGCAAACTGTTCCATAATTTTGGCGCTATCGCTTCAAAAGAGTGCGCTCCGTAAGACCTTTTTCATTCACACTGGGAATTTTCAGTAATGACTGTGTTTAAGATCACATTTTCTTTAAGGATACCGGGGTAAAATGTTTATAAATCAGTTCTTGAAGATATTCCGGTGCAGAGTCTTCTATCTATATCAAAACCAACACACAAAAAAGGGTGAGGGCGGGGGAGGGGAACATTCACTAACATATTGTTATCAAGGAGATTTTGATATATTACCTGCTGGTGTGGGAATTCAACGTCTGATATTAAACACCGCATAAACCGACTAATCAAGAAAGCTAGGAACATAACACAAACTAAACCTCCTTTACTTGAAGAACTATTTGAAGAAAGATGTTTTTTGCAAAACTAAACACATTTTGGATGATACATCCCACCCTCTTCATCACAGATACTTAGAATCGGGCCCTTCGGGACAAATTCTTTCCATCAGGGCGAGGACTGACAGATATAAAAATTGTTTTGTTCCCCAATCTGTACGAATTTACCGGCATGCCTCCTCTGAAGTCACACATCTGAATGAGAACTAATGAGTCCCCGATTTTGCTAAGAGAACTCACTGAATGGCTGTTTGAAATATTTTATTATAAATGTCTTGTGTTCAAATTGTTTTATTTTTTAGCTGAAAATGTGCAATGCTATCAAAAAACATTTCCATCTATTTGGATCAATTAAAGAATCTTGTCTTATCTTATCTTATCAAAAGCTATTTTTTCATTTTTTTTTTTTTCAAGCCCGAACATATCTTGTTCCATTGTATATTTACAATACAAAACCAGGACAAAGTAAATAAAAGTGAAGTAATTTTTTTTCAATTTTATCACAAAGTAGGATACAATTATTTTATTTATTTCTCATTTTTTAAAAACTGCAATCCATCCAATACGCAAGTTAGATTAATTAGAGTAGACACTGCCCTAATACACAAAATGAGATATTAAGCGAAATGATATCAAGAGCCAATTTATTTCCGGAAGTGTGTAATGTGTGGATGTTTCCATGCCTTAGCAAGATGGCTGAACTTGTGGAAGCTAAAGCGATTGAAGATGATGAGGAGTTCGAAGAGGTTTTATTTTGTATTTTACTGTTTTTCACAGTATTACTATTTTTTATAAACATTTATTATATTTTAAAACAAGAATTTGAATGTTCACCGTGCAATTGTTGTGCATAATTTATTGACCTTGTATGCAACAAAACAAAAAAAACCGTTGCCAAATTGAACTTGCCGGGGTCGTGCAAAAGTAAAAGGATGTATTTGGCTTGGTCCCCAATTATAGAGCATAACATAGTCTGACATAGAAGGCTGTGGCTATAAGAGTGAGAGGTTGGGTTGTTAAAAAATAATTAAAATATTATTGTTGGGTTTGTACGACAAAATTTGTTATCATGGTCGTCATGGACCTGCTAGGAATGGACTATTTTTAGATACTTTGGTCTTGGTCAAAAATGTAAACATTTTTTAAAAATAAACCAATGGCACAGTTGAATAGAGCTAATTTTAAACATAATTATAACACCAAAATCATATTTTTAGCTGTTGTAGTTTTAAAGTTATGAATTTTTAAAGTACGACTTGGTTTGTCCTTTTTTAATAGTTCTTATCAAATATCGCTCACAAATTTTTCTTTAAATAACTTTCTTCCTTTAATCATAACTGAAGTATATTTATTGTCACATTTATGTATTTCATTTAAAAAACGTGTGTATTCCAGAATATTTTGAAAGGTAAAATTTTTAAGTAACATGACATTGGTCATTGGGGAAGCACTGATGAAGTATCTTTTGTTGTGTGTAGTAGCCTAGTGATGGCTTACTCTCATCACGTGACCAAACAAGGAAGTGACTAAGCGACTCCCATTAAAATAAACTACCACAAATGACATCAGAATAGCCATTAAGTCTAAAGGGACCTGGTTCAGATAAAGTGCGGAATGATATATACATCGGACTTATCAATCAATATTAGAGAAATTATAAAATTATGTTAGTGTTACAGTTACAGCCTATTAATTTTCTTTTTTTTTCGTAGTTTAAATTTACTAACTAAACAGTCTTCAGCCTTATTTTAACTGAATAAATTTTTTAAGGCTTTGCTTTTTTAAAGTTAATTGAATTTCCATTATTTAACATATTTTGGCTGATCATATTAATTTTGTTTTGAAATTAGGCTATTTAATTTTTTAGTTTGTTTACAGTTTATTTTTAAAACCTAAATTTATGTGTTTAGGGCCTAATTGTTTTGCCAAAGGCAGCACTTCTTTGAACTTCTTGGGGCATTTTACAAAATTATCAATAAAATAAATACATCTTATAATTAAATTAAATTTGTATTTTTCAGGATGAAAGTATTTCTGAACGCCTCATTGGTTTGACGGAGATGTTTCCAGAACCAATTCGCAAGTCATGCTCATATGCTATTTCATTCCTAACATCAGCAACCAAGACAAGTGTCTCTGCGATGCGAAGTATTTTATGGATTGCTAGTTCCTCTGCGGTTATTCTTGTCCTGCCTGTGCTATTTGAGTCGGAGAGGGCTAAGCAACACGAGGAGGAGATTCAGCAACAAAGACAGGTATTATGAACACATTTTTACAACCATTTAAGTTTATTTTCATTTTTGTTCATAAGTAGATGTCCATTTTATTTTGGATAATTTTTTTCAGTATACATAACTAAATAAGCAGCAGGATCAGTCAAATTTTTATTAAAAGTAGTAATTTTGCTAGTGAAATCTAAATAAAAATTCAACACTAATTTTAACATAAGCAGATTTTTTAATTATTATTATTATAGTTATTTGGGGCCTATGTTTCATGACTTAGCTACTAATTCTTTTTCCATGGTTTTTAAAAACTGCTCATAATGCCCTCTAGGTTTTTGTTTTTCTCCTATAGTATTTTTTCCTCTACTTGGTCTTTAAACTGTCGAGAATATAAATGCTCAATTTTCTATCATAGTATTTTTAGAAAACAAATGTTTATTTAGTTCACATGATTTGCTTAAAATAATGTTTTTTAACCCAATCTTCTTTTGCTTTGTCAGATCTTGCTGGGACCCAATGCAGCTGTATCAGGATCTGGTGGGAGTAGCAACCTTTTGCCAGGGATGGGCATGGTACCAAATCCCAGAAGCTAAAACGGTTTGGGGTCTGCTGGACATTAAAACAATGTTGTAAATACCTATAGTTTTATTTTGCCTGCCTATGGCTTGGCTAGCTTTTGGCTGAAAACAAAAAGTAGCTCTCTTTGGGATTGTTGCTAATTTAATTACAAAATTACATCATATTCTCCATTGCCGTTTAACACTTTTTAATGAGGCGATTACTCTGAACACCCTATTCCCCTCACCCCCTTTTATTTGAGTTTTTAAAATTATAACAGTTTAACATGTTTTGGGCATCAATGCATTTTTTAGGTAAGCGTCTATTATGTCCTGGTGCATTTTGTATGAACAGATTTGTTGAACCATTGGATGAGTGTTCTGAACCCATGGAAAATAAGTGTACTGGTTTTTTATTTTACCAGAGTAGATGAACATGTTTTCATGCAGAGAATCAGTTTTACATCTCTGTAACTAATGTATGGCATGACAAATTTAAAGAATATTATTTCTTAATTTGGTAGTATAAGTGTGAAATGCTGAATGTTTCTCATTATATTATGAAAGTTGGTCATGTGTTACCATTCATCTCAACCATGTGGTAGAATATTTGAAATGTATTTTGTCACATGGTTTTCCCCATCTAATAATTTGGTGCGTTTTTAGTAAAACTTCTTAGGCTATATTTCTCAACAGATTCACTGCGTTACTGGTTCCTGCAAATTTTGTCTTTATGCTCATAATTGATTTCATTAAAAAAAATTTTACGTTTACCAAACTGTCTTGAGTTAAAATGTTGGAGAAATGTGTTTAATGGTTTGAGATAAAGTTCTACAGACAAATTTGCTAAAATAATTTTAGTCTTCAATATTTTGGTCACGTTTTGAATGCAGGCATTTTCAAGGTATATATTGTCTGTTGTTTCTTACTTGAAGTCCAAATAAATGTTATTTGATTTTAAGCCTCAGGTTTTTTTTTTCTTCTTGTAGTTGAAATTTTAAATTATAAAAGATTTCAATAATAAACACTAGTAAATTACTTTACTTAAAGCATTTTAATTTACAGAGTATATTTTTATGATAAAAAAGAGACATAACAGTTGAACATGATGATAACCTGAAATAATTTTTCTTATACCAGTACAAATATAAAGTTCAAAAATATTCATATAAATATCAGCAGATGTTCAGATCAATAAAGTTAAAATAAGGCTATATTGTATGACAAAAAACAGTAAAGTTGCAGTTGGAATAAATAATCACATTAACAGGAGTGGCCGCATGAAACTTGTAAGAGTCGTACTAATATATTTTAAATCATACGCTATAATTATAATGGTCTTTGCTGTCACTAAAATTATCATAAGGGAGAGTGGACTTTTCAAAAATCCACCAGTGTTTTAGGTGTTGTTTTTTTTACATTGACTTACTTTAAGTGAAAGTGGATCCCATCCAACTAAGATGCTTCAGCGCCATGCTACTGTCAGGAATAATTTTAAATACCTTGAAGTGTCTCAGATTCATCTTACAAGACAATAAGATACATTTCCTGATGATTCATTTCACATTAACTTAAATGAATTGTTTTTTTTAGTACCGGCACTGTACTGTACTGGTATCTGGCTACCTTTATTATATTTTTAAAAATTTGTACTGGTATTAACAATGATCTATAGATGTGAGAACTTACTAAATATAATTTTAAAATTTGCACAAGATGACCTTGCACTGTTGAGTGTTTAAAAATAAATACTTTTTTGAGGGATGCTTTTAAAAAATCAATGACCTTTGTTTTACACTGATTGATTTGATAAAAATGGAATTTTCTGACAGTTTACTTCCCTTGAGATTGTACAAAAGAATATCACTATCCCTGTACCTGTAAAAAAAATTAAACTCTTGATATAATAAATCTTTAAAAAATTAACAGAAAATGATGTGTGCGCTATTTAAACAATAAAAATGACAAAGTTCAATTTGAAACTACCGGTACCAATTAATTCAAAGTACTATGTGACTAATTTTCCAAAGCTGTAAATGTCAAGAAAATACTGTAGAATAACTTCTTTTGCCATGCTACAGACAATCCTGTCAAACCAGATTTGTTTGTCATCAGCCAGGAAGCTGAATGAGTTGTCAAATAGGCACATTTTCTCACAGCTATGATCGCAGTGTATTTTATATGGTGCCAAGTCTCATAATAATAGTCATTGACGCGTAACAACTTGAGCCCATCTGTCATTTGGTAAGTGAACGGCCCTTGCATCATGACCGCAGTGATGTTTGTGGCACATTGCCTGATGAATGTTTCAGCCAAGAACCGCCATCTTCATTCTTGCTCGGCATCGGCAGCTCTCTAAACATGGTTACCAAAACCAGCCCAAAGACACTCAGCAGTACCCCTATTAATGCCACGACAAATGACCAGCCGGACTGCTCATCCTCTTGTCCAGATACACGTTGTGCCTTGTTCTTGATCTCACCAGCAAAGATCAGCATGCCCTGAAGCACCAGAACAGCTTGGAAATGATAAAACATATTCATTGACACAAACAATATATTATTATCATAGACAGAAAGTCAAATAATTTTATTTTACCATACAAAGTTCCAACTCATTCTACTTGACATACAAATATGATAAATCATTATATAATATACCCCATAAATAGGTTCTAGATTTTCTTAAAAAATAAGATTAAAATACGCAAACCCCCCCCCCCCAAAAAAAAAAAAAAAAAAAAAAAAAAATAAATCATTAAATAATATACCCCATAAATAGGTTCTAGATTTTCTTAAAAAATAAGATTAAAATACGCAAACCCCCCCCCCCCCAAAAAAAAAAAACAAACAGATACAACAAACGTGTCGACAAGATGCCTTCTTTAGCAAACAAATGGGTAACACAAACGAATATTAAAATAAAAACTTAGCTGCGATGTAGTATCGGAGAGGATAGCAAGAGGAATGTGGTAAGAGAGTTAATATAGGTAATGGGGGGGGGGGAGGGGGTAAGAGAAAAAGTAACTCTTTAGTGATTGCTTGTGAAAAGGAGGTGGACAAAATATTTAACATGACAAGGAGAACATAAAATTCACATCATATGGTGTCTGGGTCCCGTAAGTGTGTACCGTATCAGTTTGTTCTCTAAGTTCACAGCGACGGGCGTGTTGGTACAGGAAACAATGGGGGTGATGGCCCAGCCCTTGTCGTAACTTCTACTGCGGTTTTTTGAAGTAGGCTTATTGACAACTCTGTAATTATTTTGTTACGTCCTTTTTTCAATTTTATTCCCATAAATTGTTTCCCATATTTCCTTGTACCTAACCAGATTGCAGTCCCCCCCCCCGCCGCCCCTTATGGTCATACTTGTTACTTGATATTAAACATCACGTTGTGCAGTTGTAGCAAATGTTTAATATTCACATTGTTTAACGCAATACTGATATTGGTGTTAACTGATTTCATGAGCCCCTTTGTCTGAACTTTGCAAGATATTTTGGATTTCTCAAAAGCTTACTTTTATATACAATTTCATTTTCTTTAAAATTACCGCATATTTGAATGCACAATCTAGGGTATATTGCAGGGTAATCTAAAATGTAACATAAATTACTCTGATCAAATTAATACTACTACTAATAAATTTTCCATGGAAAAAAAACAAAACTCACTTGCAATACTGACAAACATTTCAACCATCCGATTCTTAGCGACGAAATTTCGAAACTTCTTCATTGGCACCACCTGTACAATCTCAAGAAGAAATCCCAGAGTATACATGATGCCTGCCGCTACCATGACAAACTGAACATACCTAGCTGCGTGAGGACCTGTGAAAGAGAATGGGGTATATCAATACAATTATTAATAAAAACCCGGGACATAGTCATTTTGAGGCAAAGCCACATGCATTCAAAGCAGCTCTCGCCATTACGACCTGCTGTCTAGTACCGGTAGTAATAGCCAATAGCAATCCGAAACAAGTGGAAAACAGAAATGTAAATACCGGTACTCTCGGTGGGACGGTTCTTCCAGGAATATTTAGGGGGCGTGGCCTGTTTTTTTTTGGGGGGGGGGGGGGGTTTTTTTTTTTTTTTTTTTTTTTTTTTCTTTTTTTTTTGCAATTACAATAGTGGAAGAAGGTACGTCGAATCTTGAAATGAAAGAAAATGATCATAAAAAGATAACGTTTCGCCCAAAAGCCTTCTTCAGCAGAAAAGACAAAACACGAAACAGAAAAATAAATATAATTTAAAAAATCAAGTTACAATAAAATGTGCGTATCGACTCTCCACGTATTGTTCATGCTCAACAGGGCCTTCTGGGCCCCAGACAGCTGACAGAGTGCGGGGCCCGCACTTAGGACATTCTGGCCCCCATGCAGCTGACAGAGTGCGGGGCCCGCGCTCAGGACATTCTGGGCCCCAGGCAGCTGACAGAGTGCGGGGCCCGTACTTAGGACATTCTGGGCCCCAGGCAGCTGACAGAGTGCGGGCCCCTTTCGTGTTTCAAATATGTGCGTATATTTTAAAACTCGAAAATCGGTGGGGCCCTATCAAGCCGGGGCCCCTGACAAGTGCTATGGTTGTCCCAACCAGGTGCGTGTCTGTGCTCAACAACAAGATATGTCGCAGATAAAGTTCATGAACGATTAATATGCGTTGAACGTCTTCAAATTCAATCAATGTAACATTCATAGTCAATATTTCGGTTACGCCACAGACGTATATCACGTGTGTACAGTTTCTTGAAAGTCAAGCTTACAATCAACTGACAAGCACCGGCATGTTGGCTATAACTTTAAGCTCTTGTTGACTCTGGTCGTCTGCACCGGGCCGAAGTGGCCCGGATTAACCATTAAGTAAAATAAGTACGTGCATAGTGCACGCCCAATAAGAGGGGTACTTATTTACTATAGTATCCGGAAATGTGTTTGAAAGAAATGGGTTTGAACGCAAGTTTCTTACACGAAGAAAATTTATTGATTGATTTGATGTTTTTTTCAAAGGGAAAGTTCGAGCGCGAAAATGGTAAAAATGAAAACTTTTTAATTTAAAAAAAAATTGGGGGTCAACCCCCCCCCCCCCCATTATTTCATTTCTTTTTTTCAAAGGGAAAGGTAGAGCGCGAAAATGGTAAAAAAGAAAACTTTTTAAATTAAAAAAAAATTGGGGGGCAACCCCCCCCCCCCCCATTATTTCATTTCGAAGATACGGTCGTTCGATAAAAATTTCCGTTCGAACAAATGTTCCGTTGAACAAATTTCTTTGTAAATATATCCGGTAAAGTCAGTGTGTGTGTGTGTGGGTAATAATATGAGTATTAAAATAAGAAATATGGTAATTTTGGGTTAAGAGCGCCTAAATTCGGATTTTTCCGAGTAGCAGCTTTTGCTTGCCACGTCCTTGGCACCAGCTTCTTTCTAATATAGTTGATATTATCCCACACGCTAGCTACTTACTGATATAGTTGATATAATCCCACAAGAAAGATACATACTGATATAGTTGATACTATCACACAAGATAGCTACTTACTGATATTATAGTTGATATTATCCCACAAGCTAGCTACTTACTGATATAATTGATATTATCCCACAAGCTAGCTACTTACTGATATTATAGTTGATATTATCCCACAAGCTATCTACTTACTGATATAATTGATATTATCCCACAAGCTACCACAATCGTCATGGTCATTCCTGTCGTCACCACCTTTATTAGATCTACCAGATGCAGTTTGTCGGCAAGCCTTAAAGATACCAAAGTTTTTTGTCACCAATGTCTAGGAGGATGGAAAGAAAAAATCAATGAAATATTGACATAAATTTACCCCCAATGCACACTAATGTTCCCATTGATAAACTGTAACCTATCAAGAAAATACACAAGTCTGTATGACTGGACTGGAACAATTGATCAATCAACCAGTCCAGTCATTAACGCTTTCACTGAATAAACTTCCCGATAACTGCGCTCAAGAAAATTCTTAAAAAGTGCATTGGGCTCGTAACATATTTCTTTTGTTTTGTGGAAATAGTCTAAAGTGAAATATGATGCAGTAACTCTGTGGTGTAAAAGTGGGGGTGGGGTATTAGCATGTTAATTTATTCCAGGGGCGTGGAAAAAAGTGTTTGTCGGCGTACAGTGGAGTGGGGTTGGGTAGTGCTAATTGGGATTCTTATAATTTGCGATAGTTGATGGCATGTTTTCTCAAGAAATTTGACTAGCTGGGGAGTTAACGCATCGTTTGAACGGGGCTGTAGCTAAGTAATTCCATCATATCATCATAACGTAGAACTTTGACGTCACACTGAACGTTTAGTAAAACAAAAATAATGCGTTCAAAAAGAAATGTGACGCAAATTTGAGGAAAAGTTGACGAAAATTTGATCGTGTGAACGGAGCATTTTAATTGAATGGAATAGATGCATCAAAACGTGAGCAATGCTAAGCCAATGCTAAGCCAATGCTAAGCCAATGCTAAGCCAATGGTATTCAAAGAATCCCAGGGTGGGGGGGGGGTCTTTTTGTTTTAATTTTGGAAGTCCGTTGAACGAGTTTTATTTCTCTAACTTTTCAGGAACAGTTTACAAAATCATGAACTCTTTGAAAATCGCATTCTAAAAGCATTTCTAAATATATATATATATATTTTACGCATGTTTCGTTTCCTTTCATTGACACTTTTGTACATACCCAATGTTAAAATTCATTTACAAGAAAGAAACCAATAATGTACCAGCGTTAGATTGATATTCTCCGCTGCGTCGTCGACGGTGGGACGGTCCACCCAGTGGGGCGTGGCCACGGATACCAGGTAGCACACCATGCCACCCAGCAGGATCAGCTGACCAAGTCGAAAGAGAATCTTGCTGACTGTTTTCACATGACAACCCATGGCACCACGACAGAGTCTGGGGAAGCAGAGAAGGTGCAGGGGTAAATAAATGAAATAGCAGGCAACGGCTAACTCTACGCTCTGATAATGATGCTGCTTTGGCAATGACACTATGGGGGGATGGTGGGGTAAAGAGGATGCCAGTGTTATAGCAATGATAGAAACACATCGAAAAATGTGTAGCTGTACTCGTGTTCCAGGGGTGAAAAAGCTGGTGAGTTTGTGACGCAATGAGTTAACTTTGACTCTGCCGTCCTTAATTAATGAAAGCTGCAGTACATACAGCATAAACACACACACACAAAAGCGATTTGAAGCATATAAATTGGACCGTCTACGTCACCCCAAATAAGGTAAGTGATACCCATGACGTACCCCCTCACCCACCCCCCGCCCCAAATAAGGTAAGTGATACTCATGACGTACCCCCGCACCCACCCCCCACCCCCAAACCTTGTCAGTCTTCCTACACCAATATTTTATGATGTCACATGAAAGGTGTGCTGTTTGAAAANGGGGGGGGGATTTTTTTTTTTTTCAATTTTGGGGGGGGGGGGGGGGGGGAGATTTCAAATTTTGGGTAGGAAGTTGCAGTGAACAGAGGCGCAGCTAAGAGGGGCATAGGGAACATATTTACCCGGATGCCAGACTAGCGAGGGCACCAAAATTGGCTTTTCTGGTATTTAATGGATGAAAATAATGGGTTTCAAATTTGACTGGGTAAAATTAATCTTGTCCCCTGACGCCAAACACTCTAGCAACACCACTGCCAGTGGCGTGGAAAGGGGGGGGGGGCGAATGGGTTCGTCTTTATATGGAGGGGCGGAATTTACGGACAACTTCAGAGTTTGTAATCCTAAAAGGGAAGCGGTAAAAATGTGTGAATATTTTAAAATCAAGAAGTGCATTTTGGAGTATACCTGAATTCAGTGATTTAAAAAAAAAAAAATAGACGATTTGTTTGTCGGAAGGAATTTTTCAAGCGTTGGTTGGAGGCATTTTGGCGGGGCTAGGGGTTCTCAAGCTGGGATCCCACACGATTTTTAGAAAACAAATGATTTCTCGGGAAATGTTTCTATCCCGGTTACAAAATATTAGATTCAATTTATTTTTCTCCTCTCTTTTATTTCAGCAAGTCACAGATTGTCAAAAATTGTCGCTATACGCGAGAACCTGTAAAATGTAACTAACTTCGCTGAACTATTGCGCTCAGTAGCTCAAGTACACATGCTCTCTAGCGTTTTCAAGTCACAACATCATTTTTATCGAAACAAACTGAGCCTTCTCCCTCACTGGCCACGATCATTTGATAAAAAAAGGTTTTTAAATACGGTAAATTCTTGGCAAGGAAAACATATTGAAACTAGATTTTTCAGTATTATCGACAGATTTACTGTCATGATTGGAACTGTTACTCAAACTGTGAGACACCATTTAAAAAAATAAAACTATTTACACATTCCAATCTCTCTTAGTCTATTGTTTCCATCAGCTACCACACAAAAATCCGTTCGCAACCCAATTTGATGTCAGGTCCCAGGGGATGAGAACCTGTGCTCTAGTGACTAGACTATACCAGGCGGTACCTGTGTCAAACTATTTTACAATGTTTCTTAATGTCATAAGTCTTAAGATGGCGAGCTGTTTGCATACTGTTTATGTGATATAATATAATGGTGAGCTCATTATGTAATGTCATATATATTATATGATGTTGATCTAGTTCTGTTATGTCAGATATCATAAAATCGTGAGCTATTTCTGTAATGTCATATATCATATATGGTGAGATAGTTCTGTAATTATTATATCATATAATGGTGGGCTACTTCTTTCATGTCATATATAATTTAATGGTGAGCTAGTTCTTTCATGTCATATTATATCATATAATGGTGAGCTAGTTCTTTCATGTCATATATAATTTAATGGTGAGCTAGTTCTGTAATGTCATATTATATCATATAATGGTGAGCTACTTCTTTCATGCCATATATAATTTAATGGTGAGCCAGCTAGTTCTTTCATGTCATATATAATTTAATGGTGAGCTAGTTCTTTCATGTCATATATCATATAATGGTGAGCTAGTTCTTTCATGTCATATATAATTTAATGGTGAGCTAGTTCTTTCATGTCATATATCATATAATGGTGAGCTAGTTCTTTCATGTCATATATAATTTAATGGTTAGCTAGTTCTTTCATGTCATATATCATATAATGGTGAGCTACTTCTTTCATGTCATATATAATTTAATGGTGAGCCAGTTAGTTCTTTCATGTCATATATAATTTAATGGTGAGCTAGTTCTTTCATGTCATCTATCATATAATGGTGAGCTAGTTCTTTCATGTCATATATAATTTAATGGTGAGCTAGTTCTTTCATGTCATATATCATATAATGGTGAGCTAGTTCTTTCATGTCATATATAATTTAATGGTTAGCTAGTTCTTTCATGTCATATATCATATAATGGTGAGCTACTTCTTTCATGTCATATATAATTTAATGGTGAGCCAGTTAGTTCTTTCATGTCATATATAATTTAATGGTGAGCTAGTTCTTTCATGTCATCTATCATATAATGGTGAGCTAGTTCTTTCATGTCATATATAATTTAATGGTGAGCTAGTTCTTTCATGTCATATATCATATAATGGTGAGCTAGTTCTTTCATGTCATATATAATTTAATGGTTAGCTAGTTCTTTCATGTCATATATCATATAATGGTGAGCTAGTTCTTTCATGGCATATATCATACAATGGTGAGCTAGTTCTTTCATGTCATATATCATATAATGGTGAGCTAGTCTTTCATGTCATACATCATGAAAGTGTACTATATGCGTCAGCACAGAACCGACACGGTGCACGCGTGTGTTGTTCTACTTTACTCTGGAAACCTCCGATCGATGAGCTAATCAATGAGATCAATGATAACATCGGACATAAATAGCAAAAGGCAATCAGAGGGGACACCACAACAACATTTAAATGATTGATAGATACCGTGTGGCAACGGGGTCATAAGTAGGACAACGGGGTCACAAGTAGGACAACGGGGTCACGAGTAGGACAACGGGGTCATAAGTATCACAACGGGGTCAAAAGTAGGACAACGGGGCAACAAGTAGGACAACGGGGTCATAAGTAGGACAATACTTTTGGAGGGAGGGTTGATAATATTGGGAGGTATTTTAACCCGGGAAACAGGGTCACATGGGCTTCATATGTTTGGTGATGTCATTTAGCTTGTATTCGTACATTAAATAGAAAAATGTAAGTTCTGTCAAGTTTGGAGAGAAGTGCCATGTGGTGTAGGAAGAATGCGATAAGTATTAAAAAGGATTGATAAGAAACAAGTTACGTGTGTCGACCGGAGAGTAGTTTGGGGTAAAGAGTGCAAAGAGCAAAGTGGACTATTAAAACAGGTGGTTTCAAACTTTAACTTTAAATAAAATAGCATTTTACAGTTTGCTTGATTTCAAACAATATTTATGATATAAAATAAGACTAATCGACAATGAAGACATCTTTGTAACTATTGACCCATATTATTATTTGTGTTTTCTCACCATGTGTTCATTAAGACTCCATTTGCATGAGTATTGTTTGTGCTAAAAAAATAGGAGTTTATTTTTTTAATTTAAACCGCAACAAGGTTAGATCTATTACTCTAGTTCAGAGGTCCCCAAGTTGTTTAAGCCATGGAGCCATGCATCCAGGTATTCCATCTACCAATGACGTACTATGTCAGTCTAACACATGAAATGCGAGATAGAAATGTTAAAATGCAATTTTCGCTCCTCTGCGCATCTGCTCTATAAGGGTTGTTGTTGTTGTTCAAAACATAACTAATCTAACTTTAACATAATTTACATCGTCAGACAGTAAATAACTTTGGCTTATAGTACAATGCATCTACACACCCAGCCATTCAATAAATTACTTACGTTGGCTTATCGTACAATTCATTTCCAAATTTATCAGACATAAATTACTTCGCGACACAGTAAGAGGAAAATTAACATATTTTACCTTTTCATTCCATGCTTGTGCTTACTTCATCCAAAGTTCAAATATCTCATCATGATATGTCAGTATGATATGTTTTGCATGATATGTTTAGCGTGATATGTCATAATATGTCAGTATAAATAATTAGCATTGATATGTCAACATGCTATGTCAGAATGTTAAGTCATTATGATATGTCAGTATGACATGTCAACATGATATTTAAGTGTGATATGTCAACATGATATGTTAAAATGTATTTCAGCATGATTTGTCAGTATAATTTGTCAATATTATATGTTAGTATAACATGTCAACAGGATATTTAAGTGTGATATGTCAGCATGATATGTTAAAATATATATAAGCATGATTTGTCAGCATAATTTGTCAATATGATATGTCAGTATGATATGTCCATTTGGTTTTGAAATAAATCACATTAATTATTTTGCTCCTTTTCCTTTGAAAAATTCAAACATCATTTCCCTCTAATCGTTTCTCAGAAAGAAGACAACGTCATCAGACAAGACAACCTCATCAGACCAGACGACCTTATCAGACCAGACGCCCTCATCAGACCAGACAACCTCATCAGACCAGACTACCTCATCAGACCAGACGATCTCATCAGACCAGACGATCTCATCAGACCAGACGACCTCATCAGACCAGAGCCCTCATCACACCAGACAACCTCATCAGACCAGGCGACCTCACCAGACCAGACAACCTCATCAGACCAGACGACCTCATCAGACCAGACGATGTCATGAGACCAGACGATGTCATCAGACTAGACGACCTCATCAGACCAGACGACCTCATCACACCAGACAACCTTATCAGACCAGACAACCTTATCAGACCAGACAACATTATCAGACCAGACGATCTCATCAGACCAGACAATCTCATCAGACCAGACAACCTCACCAGACCAGACGATCTCATCAGATCAGACAACTTCATCAGACCAGACGATCTCATCAGACCAGAAGATCTCATCAGACCAGACGATGTCATCAGACCAGACAACCTCATCAGACCAGACGACCTCATCAGACCAGACGACCTCATCAGACGACCAGACGACCTTATCAGACCAGATGATCTCATAAAATCAGACGACCTCATCAGACCAGACAACCTCATCAGACCAGACGATCTCATCAAAACCAGACGATCTCACCAGAGCAGACAATCGTCTATGTGTAGTTTCTACCCAATATCTTCACAAATATTGAAGAAGTCTTTCTTTTAAAAAAAAATAAATTTACCCATAACTTTTCTTATTTCCAATTAAAAAAAAAAAATCTTATCGAAGACATGCGGGAATGTTGGTACAGTATCCCTTATTTTCGCCGCGACACACCTACATCCTGCAAGGTAGACACTACTCTGTTGTGACACAGTGGTTGGAAAAGCAACGATTATTAGTGAAGCACATACCATTTTAATGATACATTTCAGGAAACGAATTCAAACCTGACAGCACTGACACTGCATCAGGAACGTTACGATGAACATTTAAAGAGTGACATGATGACAAAACGAAACGACAAAATCTCCGAAGAGCTGCTGAAGTTCAGTTGTTTGATGTGTGCTGTAAAGTGGATGTGCTGTAAAAAAAAGTGTGTGGGGAAGGGGGTGCTGTCTGATATTGGGGTTACTGCACCGAAACTCTCGATAGTTTACCTTTACCGCTGATATTGGACATGTTTACATTTCAGGTCGACTTGATCAAACCGTAATTATGATTATTGGTGGATCGTGTGGGGTTGGTCTCGTGGGGTTGGTCCCGTGAGGTTGATCTTGTTGGGTTGGTCTTGTGGGGTTGGTCTTGTGGGGTTGGTCTTTTGGGGGGTGGTCTTGTAGGGTTGGTCTCTACCACGGCCCTCTGGGTTTCGCAGGCGTGTCTCTATCTGCAGTTGTTTGTCATGGGGGGGGTAGGGTGGGGAGGAAAGTGTGTGGCGTAGGAATGGGGTGGCGTAGGAATGGGGTGTGGACTGGTGGTTCCCCCGGGCGGTACTTTTTTTCTTTACATTGAAGATTGGTTGCATTTTGGCCAAATGCCCCAGGAGGGATCAACCCTAGCAACACCACTGGGGTGGGAGTTGGGGCTTGGATGTGTCGTGTATACCTGGTGAGTAGGTTTTCTCATTTTCAGGGTTTTTGATTTTCCCAGGCAAAAGTGAATAGAGTTTTCCTCACACCAGGAAAAAAATTAATTTAATTTAAAATATATCATGAACTGAATTAAACTAGTCTATAAAAGAGTTGATTTTTATATTTGTTTAATTGTTGTTTTCTGTTAATAAATGACAACAATGTTAAGGTTAGCTGAGAGGTTGGTCACTTGCTACCATTTGTTTCATTTTGCACTGATTATCCCTAGCAATGGATAACCTACTAGCTACTACTATCCTCGTTACCAAAATTTGGATTTAACCACCTGTAGTAAAAAAAACAACAACATAAAAATGTATTAGTTTTGCATTCTTCAGAGGTCGCCAATGTTAGTTTCGAATCCATCACTAAATATTAACAAGCAAATGTTTTTAAGACATTAAAGTTTAAACAAAGGTTTCGTTTCGAATTTTAAACAAATATTAATGATTATAAATGTATCTTTATTTGTAAGTGTCTTCCTATGTGGATTTTGGGAGGAGAGAACCCACAGCACGTGAACGTATTATAAAAGTTGTCTGACACAGGAAGTCATGGGACTCACTTTGCTTCCATATGAATGTGGTCGTGTCTTGAAAACACTTGAGAACTTCTGTACGAGAGCTACCGAGCTTAGTAATTCAGCGCAGTTTCACTAGATTTGACAGGTCCAGCCACATTTGTGACAATCTGTGACTTAATGAAATTAAAAATAAATCAAGAAAATTGTATTACTAAATGTTTGGACACGGTATATCCCGGGATGGGAAAAGTCCCAAATCGTCTTTTGTTCACTGAAAATCGTGCGCGCGAGAGAGAAACCTTAGCGGGTATGGAGACAATTGTAGTGTTATCTTTGGGGCGCCATTCAGTCTAACGCCACTTCAGTAAAGGTGGGCTCCAAGTCTTGTGTTTATAGGCAAGGGTGTTTATGAGTCAGGAAGTAAGAAAGAGAGAGAGAGAGTGGTGGAAAGAGAGAAAGAGAGAGAGAGAGAGAGAGAGAGTGGAGGAAAGAGAGAAAGAGAGAGAGAGAGAGAGAGGGGGAGAGAGAGAGAGAGAGAGAGAGAGAGAGAGAGAGAGGGGGAGAGAGAGAAAGAGAGAGAGAGAGAGAGAGAGGGGGGGGGAGAGAGAGGGGAAGAGAGAGAGAGAGAGGGAAAGAGAGAAAGAGAGAGAGAGAGAGAGAGAGAGGGGGAGAGAGAGAGAGAGAGAGAGAGAGAGAGAGGGGGAAAGAGAGAAAGAGAGAGAGAGAGAGAGAGAGAGTGGAGGAAAGAGAGAAAGAGAGAGAGAGAGAGAGAGAGTGGTGGAAAGAGAGTGGTGAAGAGAGAGAGAAAGAGAGAGAGAAAGAGTGGTGGAGATGGGGAGAAAGATGTAAATATATAAATATATATAGAGAGACTGTGTGTGTGCCGGGGGGGGGGGAGAGACAGAGGAGAGAACTGTGGATCGTGTGTTTGGAGACTTTGAAAGAGTTGGGGCAAGTCTCAGCTAACAGTTCTCAAACACCGTGGTACTCCTAAAGCTAACGCAGTCCTGAAAGGATCTGTAAACTGCCACACAGTGCTAAGTAACATTTCAGTTCCACTCTTAACACTGGTTTAAATGTGTCAAGTCTTTGTGCCAATGAGACAACACTAACTGCTGGGACAATTGTTTCCCTTACAAATGAACCGCCGAATACTCCAACCACAATGAACTCACGTGTTTGCGCGAGCGGAACGGGTTTTCTAGGATACAATTCAACACTCAACCACTGGCCCTGATCTAAGACCGTAATAGCAAAGTGTTATTGATTCGGTCCGCAAGGCAAGACCTCTCTCTAGTATCTGCGGTTAAAATCAGCCCGACCTTTTTCACTAGCTGCCAGTGTTAAGTATTGCGTAATTCCACGTAGCTTATCAAAATGGCATCAGTCAAAATAAATCTGTCAGGTTTGACTTGAACTATTCTATGGAAACCGCCAAAAGTTCAAAAGTTTAGACTTCGTGATACTTGATTTTAAAATAAAATTGCGACAGCACTTAATGCGTATACGCCTGACTTATAAGTCTTATATAATCACTCGCTGTCTTATAAAATCACACACTGTCTTATAAAGTCACTCGCTGTCTCATAAAATCACTCGCTGTTCACAATCTAGTTACTTACCGTTCCCAAGCACAAACTCATAGGGAAATCAGTCACGTCTTACTTCAACAACTCCTCAACGGTCTCAACGGGTCACACCAAAATTTACCACGATCTGTAACAACACGGTACACGGTACCCTCGCCCAGTTCCGTCTTTGATTAGTTTGGATCGCGCACCGATCAATAAGTGGCCCTTCGTGGATATCAACGGCCCAGTTGGTGTGCGTGCTGGTGACCCCGTGCGAGGAACTGGTTCCTGAGGCACGGTATTTGGTACCTTATCACTAGAGTGCTGAGCGATTGATACGTCAGAAAAGACATGGGGCATTCCTGTAGCCTCTTGTTTATTTTGGCGAGTGTAATTGGGGCTGAGACGAAATTCGTTTCATAAACGCTAAGAGTGGATGAATTGATTAATGATAACGTTATCACTTTTGTGTTTTGATTTCGTGTATGTAAGTCATTTTGAGTTCGCACAAATCCATAGCGTTGGACTCTGGGAGTGGGGGGGGGGGGATGCGAGGAAGCATTTGCTTCAGGGAAAGGACCTCGACGTTAAGAGCTTTAATCCCTCTCCAGCAACTGACATTTATGACATGTAATGTCTTGGGGGGCCACTTTGAATTCCATAGCGTTGGACTCTGGGAGTGGGGGGGGGGGATGCGAGGAAGCATTTGCTTCAGGGAAAGGACCTCGACGTTAAGAGCATTAATCCCTCTCCAGCAACTGACATTTATGACATGTAATGTCATGGGGAGCCACTTTGAAGATAGCAGAAGCTGCCCCAACTGGAAATGAATCTGAAAGGCTATTTCTTAAAAAACTAATTCAGAATTTGTGTTTTCAAGTTAGAATTTGTATTTCATTTGTAAAAAAAAAATTACATGGTGACTAAATCTTATTTTTTAGATAAAATGTCAAGGTCGTCATAACTGATTGACAAACAGCCTAGTGTGGCCTTATTGGCCTTAATCCGGGTCTTAGCCTAGGATAACCCACAAGATTACGTATAAGATACATTGGCTTTACTCAGAATTATTTCTTACCTGACTTTTAACGCAACAGCCTTATAACTTTTGATATAAGTGTCAACAGTGTATCTATGACATGGGACACTACTTGGGAATATTTGACTTAGCCAGCAAACCCTGCACATTGAACTGATGTTAGAGTAAAAAAAAAAGGGGGGGGGGTCGGGAGAATGCTGACATTGTATGTTACAAACGGCATGCGAACAGGTCTGAAAGTAAGAGTAGTGAATCAGGGCCGTCACATGGGGCCTGCAACCCTTATGGCTGCAGGGGGCTGTTGATATTTGAGGGGCCCACGTTGTTATGTGGAAAACGAATTGAACAATACATGAATTGGGGGGGGGGGCACAAAAACCTAAGAGCGGCAGGAGGCCTAAAAAATCACGTGACGGTCCTGTGGTGAAGATCACTGATATTGAATCGGACATTATTTGAAATTTCTTTCGTAAACTTGTTGGTCCCACCAGGTTCATCTTAGTTCTGTCAATAAAAAAAAAAAAAAAAAAAAAAAAAAAAAGAATATTTCTATATTTCATTGAGTCGGCAGTCGGCAGCGCTCACTTGACAGCACAATGAAATAAAGAAAACGCATTCATCGCTGTCGTGTCAATATTATTATTTTCTCAATTTGATTATGGTTAAGGGAAATAACAATGTTTAGTGTAATCTGCATTATAATTTGCGTCCCTTGAAATTTAAATTTTCTATTCCGGAGAGATGAATGAACATTTGGAAGTGGCAACTTGGCAACTTTTTGGTTTTCGCTCTGGGTAGGGGTTTCTCGGTCAAATGTAACGAAAAGAAAGACATTTTATGGATTACAAGACGGGAGGTATAAATTTAGTTAACTATGAATGACGACTTATTATTATGAGATACCCTCACTCATTTGGGCTCAAATCTGTACAGTGGCTTCGCATAATAGTAATTAGAAATATTGAGTGGGAAAAAGAAGCAAAGTAGAAAGAAAAAAAAATAAGCCATCAACTAGGGGATAGTCATACAAGTGAGAGATTTCAGGGATATCTTCTCTCGCCGACGTGGGGTGACATGAAATAACAAGCTCATTCGAGGCCTACGTGATGGCTGGAGTAATGTGTACGCCTAAAATAACATGGCGCACACAAATTTATTTAAAATGTACTAAGAGTTTTTGTTTTTTTAAAGTGTGGAACACAACTGCCAGAAACTGGAACTCTAACAAACAAGTCACGGCTGATAATTTGGAAGGCGTGTTCCACTATTGTCTACATGCTGCGGCCAAGTCTCTACTTCTGAAACACACAATTTTTACTTTTGTAAGTGAATTGTGTTTCAATGCACTGCACCAAGATGCTTTTATGCGCCCATGATTGTTAAGACAATATTAAATCAGGCTTCCCTTAGTAGTAGTTTGGCAGAGATATTAACATTTGTCACATGATCAGATTTTGGTAAATTTCTATCCTCTAATGCTGTCTAAATGTGTATTCTCTATATCAGTGCTGTCTAAATGTGTATTCTCCATATCAGTGCTGTCTAAACGTATATTCTCTATATCAGTGCTGTCTATATGTGTATACTCTATATCAGTGCTGTCTATATGTGTATACTCTATAGTTCTGTCTATATGTGTTACTCTATATCAGTACTGTCTATATGTGTATACTCTATATCAGTGCTGTCTATATGTGTATACTCTATATCAGTGCTGTCTATATGTGTATACTCTATAGTTCTGTCTATATGTGTATACTCTATATCAGTGCTGTCTATATGTGTATACTCTATAGTTCTGTCTATATGTGTATACTCTATATCAGTGCTGTCTATATGTGTATACTCTATATCAGTGCTGTCTATATGTGATACTCTATATCAGTGCTGTCTATATGTGTATACTCTATAGTTCTGTCTATATGTGTATACTCTATATCAGTGCTGTCTATATGTGTATACTCCATATCAGTGCTGTCTATATGTGTATACTCTATATCAGTGCTGTACACCCTTTTTGACCACGTAGCCCAACAGTTTTCCCCCGTGGTGAACCCGAGGGCCGCAAATGACACCTTCTTTTTAAACATACATTTTTCATAAATTATTCTTATTTTTAATACTTCTTACCTTAATGTATAAAGATGTACACATCCAAAAGCATTATGGTCGGCTGGTGATGGGTTAGCGATAAGACTGGAGATGTGTCCAACGGTATATTGGTCGCGGATTGTCTCCCAAGTCAACTTCCGTCTGTCGGCTCATCAAGAATATGAATAAAACGAAGAACAACCTGTAGCCCTCTTTGAATGATACGTTTTGATTTGAATGATACGTGCGATGTTCTCATTTTGAAGCGGTTCTCTGTAGCCCCCCCCCCCCCTCGCCCTAAATGTTCACCAGTCTTAGCGTTATGTTGTTGTTTTTTTGGCCGTGACGTTGACCATTACAGAGACTCCAGCTTCACTTTTGTAGGGCGCTTCCAAAAACATGGTCAACATTTGTGACACCATTTCCATAGTTGGGCAACTTCATCAGAAGAAACATCATCCAGATTTTATTTGGCCATGCGTTCTTGTGTTTGTTTATAAGGAAGACAAAAATACTTTCAGTAATCGTTCCTAGTGTCTCTCACAATTTCTAACTGACTGAATCGCACTAACTACAAACAAAATCACAGCTTGTATCCTGCTTTCTCATCATTGGACGTCTCAGACTCCGATCTCTGAATACCAAAGTCCTTCCCCCCCCCCCCCACACGTCATAGTGTCACAACAACTCAGGATGGACATGCGCTCTCACTTAACATTATTCCAAAATACCAATGTATAATCCAATTATTGTATAATCCCAATGTATAATCCCATTATTGGATAATCCCGTACTGTATAATCCCATCATTGCAGAATCCCAATGTATAATCCAATTATTGTGTAATCTCATACTAAATAAGCCCGTTATTGCATAATCCCAATGTATTATCCCATACTGCATAATCCGAATGTTTAATCTAATTATTGTATAATCCCATTATTGCATAATCCCAATGTATAATCCCTATATTGTGTAATTCCATACTGCATAATTCCATTATTGCGAAATCCCAATGTATAATCCCATCATTTCATAATCCTACAATTGCATAATTCCAATGTATAATCCCATTATTGCATAATCCCAATTTATAATCCATTGTTGAATAATCCCAGATGTATAATCCCATTATCGTATAATCCCATACAAGTTCAAGAACACAATGTAGTCAAATTTTATATTACAATTCTTTTATTAGATAGCAAGAGACGAATGGCATTACATTGACCATGAATGGCATTGCATTGACCATGAATGGCATTGCATTGACCATGAATGGCATTGCATTGACCATGAATGGCATTACATTGACCATGAATGGCATTACATTGACCATGAATGGAATTACATTGACCATGAATGGCATGTCACATTGAAATCAATGAAATATAATAGAGTGAAAGATAAATATGAAATAATTTTATTTCGCCAACACCAAATACCCATTGCTAGGCATAGATTTTAGGCAAGTTGATTTGATTTGTTTAAAGTTTTTACTGAAATCCCACAAATGTAAAATTTAAAAAAAACAAAAATAATCCCATTGGATTGATATCGTAGTCCGGGAATTAAGCAAATTTAGCTCCAAATTTAGTCTTTGGTCATCAGCCAGCAATATACTGTAGACGTCTTAACCCACGACCATGCCTCCCTCCAGCGGTAACGCCAGTCCATTGACATAGCTGGACCTGTCGCTTAGCAACCAGAGAACAGCATTAACGACATCTTCAACCTCTGAAAAATGTTTGTAAAAAAAAAAAAAGAAAGAAATTGGGATGAGTTCGAGGCTGGCCTAATCACGTGAAACTCCAAATAACACATGCACATAATGAATGCACATAATGAATGCACATAATGAATGAGACGCAGAAGTACAATTTACACAACTCATCAACTAATTTCAGCTGATGGACATTCGTGACCGTGACATTGTTATTTCTTTGACTACAATAGTCTTTCATTGTAACTGAAACTAGAAACGTGTTTCATTTGAAATAGAGTTTTATTTTTGTCTCTACGCGAGACCAGCGTGAGGTCTATTTGTCTCGCACAGCGGTCGGCAAACATTTGTGTGACGAGGGCCGGTAAAAAGACCTTGAAGGTCTCCGAGGGCCGGATTGATTGTGTTAAA